AAAGCGTAGAGGGGTGAGGGCATTGACGTCAATTTGGCCGTTGAGGTTCATGTTCTCGAGCTGCAGTCCCCAGACGTAACCATTGAAGCAGAGGATGCCGGCCCAGTTGGCGCGGTCCCCGGAGCACGGGTTAGGGGATGAGCCCCAGTTGGCGAGGGCTGGGTCGGCATTGGCTATGGAGGTTTTGAATTTGAGTAGGGCCTGAGACGGGTTCGCTTGTGCCACCACCTCTGCCACAAAATGGGATGAAAATAATAACAGCAGAAGCGGAATAGTGATGATTGTAGATGGGATTTTTATTATGCATGGGCGCACAGGGTAGGGTGCAGCTTGTGCGCCCGTAGGCATCGCTTGTTTTGGCCGATTTACTTTGCCCAATGGTACGTTTCTTCTTCTTCTTCCTTTTTTTTTTTTTTTTTTTTTTTCTTGAATAATATGGGGAAGGAGAGGAAGCAGCTGCTAGCTAGCTATCGGAAGCTGATGGATTTGAATTCAGTCAAAACTCATGGGAAGGGAGAGAAAGATGATCAGGCCCTGATGCTTTCTTTTGGTAATGTTTCTCTCTCTCTCTCTCTCTCTCTCTCTAATTTTTGTTGTATTTTCTGGACTTGTGTATTCCTTGATTTTTGGTGAGAGAGAGAGAGCGGCCGGCGTAAACCGGTGGCAATGATATGAGGGAGAGAAGAGGGGGTTGGGAGGGAGGTTGGAGAGGTTATTGTGGAGATTTTGATGGCTCAGGCCAGCCCTGAAATTGGTTTTAACTATAATAAGAATAGTTGCTCTATTTTAGGACAATGGGGTTGTTCTATTTTTATTTTTTATTTTTCCTTTTGTGATGAAAGTGAAGTTGTCAGTTTATATGATTGAATTTGATAGATTGCTGCTTTCCAATTGGAGGAAGTACAAAAATAGGAGAAAGCCGATGCAGTTTTTGTCTAGACTCTAGACTACCATAAATTCTATGTAGCTATCAGATGGTTTTCTTATAGAGTCATCCATCACATAATGTGTTTACACATATTCAAAGTGCATTTATTGCAGGACTTTCATTCGTGCCGAATCGCCGATTCTCTCTCGCCGAACCCTAGCCGCGCATTCGCCCGTTCCGACGAACCAATCGACCGAGCCTCGAGGATCTTAGCGATCTTAGGGCATATGAGTTCAATTATTTTAGCCATGGTAATGCCATTTTCGGTCATAAAGATCGAATCCAAGCCAAGCATTAGACTCGCGAGATCCCTATCCGTTGCCTCGCGCGCGTCCCCGCCCCTAGTTGCGCGCGCCTTCCACCGAGTCTGAGCCAAACCCTTTGAGACCCTAGCCATCTTACCTCCTTAGTCTTGGTCCCATACTTATGAAGGCTGAGTTTTTTTCAATACACTATTTATGAATAAGTGTGGATGTCTACATAAGTTGTATCATTCGATTGCTCCATAACAAAATTGTCTAGACTAGTCCCTCAAGGTCCGAGCATCCGACCGACAGGCTCAACTGTTCTTCCTCCTTGCTAATACCATTATTGCTAAAATATAATTCGTAAATTTTATTAAATTCATAGATCATATATAGCCACATCATCGAAGGAATCCACATTTATTGAATATAGATTTTTGGTTCCAAAATATTCGTCTCTTAAAAACATGGAATTAGACGTGGCCAAACTCCGATGCCAGGTCGGGTTTGGAGGGCCTTGAACCAGCCCTATTATATGCAGGAGCCTACACTGGCCGGTTAAATGAACCATCGGTTCAAGCCAGTCCAGTTTATTAAAATAATAAGAAATTCAAAAAAAAAAAAAAAAAATCAAAATTTGTGTAAATGCTGGAACTAGAACCGGTCCGTGTAACAACACGGGCCGTCGGGGCCGATTTAAGGCCTATGGTCCTGTATAAGTGGGAAACTATTTAGATTAAGAATGATATATTCTTTTGATATTGTAAACAAAACAAATTGTGTTGATGAGATTGATAATATATATAAAAAAAAAAATGACACGAAAGTATATAATGTCTTTAGTTTATCTGTCGTGTGACACGTGTCGTGCTACATCACACACGTGTCTACGCTGCAAATTCAGAAGCCCAACAACATGATCTTTTTTTTCCTTGTTTATTATACTTATTCTTTTTTCATGGTAATAACAAGATAAATACGGCGACATTAGTTGTCGTTTTCAATCGTTCGAGGTCGAGAGATCTTAGTGTTGTTGTTGTTTGTATCAACAAAATCGTACAGATCCATGGATGATACGGAGTACTCTACCCGTAGTAGAAGAAGAAGAAGAAGTAGTCGTCTTCAATCTAAGCTCGTGATTCTTCTTCTTCTTCTTCTTGTGATCAACTGTCTGTTCATCCAAGCTGTGTCGGAAAACGCAGAAACAAAAATGCCGATAATCGACGCCGCCAAGAGACTGTTCTCTCTCCCCACATCCTACGACTGTTGGATCCTTAAACTCAAGTCCCTCTTTTTCTGGCAAGCCGCCACGCCCCATTTCTCCCCGCCAAATTCTCAGTAAGCAAGAAGCACCTCGATTACACTCTCTATTCACAAATGAGATGACTCTTCATTCAGAAAGTATTTTATATGGGATTTGATAGGTATAATTATGGGGAGATGCTATGGTCCCGTTACGGGTACGAGGTTTGTAATCTAGATCAACTATCTGACGTGACGATTACATGATGATCTAACGGTTACAAATCCTGAGGGAGGGGTTTTGTAATGGAACTGTAGCATTTCACATAATTATGATTTTGGTTTACAAAGTATGATGTATACGAGATTCGATCTCGTAATACAACAATGTGTTTCAGAGTAGGAGGAGAAGGATGGACGGGCGAACAAGGGACGACAGAGAAGGTCAAAGAGGCAGCAGTGAAGAGCTTGGACGAGAGCAAATCAGCTGTGGAGGACTCTGCGAGATCTGCTGCAAAATTAGCAGAGGCAGCAGTTGAAGAGACGATAAAGAAGGTCAAGAAGACATTGTCTGGTAAATCCGAAGCCGAACTGTAAGCAGCACCATTTGCACGGAAAATAGTTGGGAAAAAAATGGTGTTGTACATTTTATATGGGATCTCATGTGCACAAAACTTTTTTTTTTTTTTTTTGTGAACTACCCTTCGATGATATTTTTACTGAAGGCCGACTCGAATTGAGGTGAGCCTGAGAAACCCTGTAGACAAGTTAGCATAACCTCTATAGTCGATTCAAATGCAGATGCTTTTCCTCTATGTATACATTACATTGTTGAACTTGCTCAGCCTTGGGGTCAAGATATAAAGAAAGAAGGTGACTCAGAAAAATGGGAAATAGTTTGTCTATAATGCAGAAGAAACAGAAGCACAATTTTGATCAGGTCGAATTGTAAGCTACTGTAACAAAATACGTAACTGGGATTCTTATATTGCAAGTTGCATTGCATTCGCAGTTGCTCTTGCTCTGCGATTAGTATCCAACGTTTAAAAACAGAAACAGATCGCAACAATCTTCTAATACTTCTCCAACGTCAAGCATCACTGCATCTCGGTAGCCGAAAGCTGCAATCAAGAAATCGTAGAAGCATTACTTTGCGGCGCAGACTCTTGCTCTTGGAAAATTTCAATATTTTGAATTGGTAGATGATTACAAATTGTGTAATATAGACTTTCGTCCTGAAAGAGTCCTTATTCCCTAGATTTATGCACGTTACATAATATTTTTCCGGTGACGGCTAAAGTAGGGATTGGGTGACTAGCAACGCTTGCCCAATTACAGACGTCAAGATTAAATCAAATGCATGAGAAACAACTTGCAATATCATAGATAATGATAAATTTAAGAGAGAGAGCGAGAGAACAGAATCAAAGCACAGAAAAACGAAAGACGGAGGTACCTGAAAAAAGCAGCAGCGGGTCAATGGCCGGCCTGCTGCTGGTGCTCAGGTGGCAGTGCTCCTCGGGGAGGGCGACGAGGTAGGAGAAGATCGTCCTCCAAAAGCAGATGTGGAAGAGGGGATTGACGGAGCTGGTCTCGATGTATTTGGCTTGATAATTATCGAGGCTGCGCTTCATGGAATTCTTCAGGTAATCAATGGTGAAGATGGGTTTGAGATGCGTCGGCAGCTCCTTCACCTTCATCCCCTTTATCTCATTATAGAAAGTCCCCATCGCCATTTCTTTCTTCTTTCATAAACTCTCCATCGAGCTCGATAAATGGGAGATGGATTTCGGACCCTAGCTTGACTGGCTGTTGTGCTCTCTCATTCTTAAAGGATTTTTTACATTCTTTCTTAAAAAACCCAACATTTTTACATTCTTTAAGGGATTTTTTTGTGCTCTCTCATTCTTTTAGGATTTTACCAACATTTAGTCTAGCAAAACTTATATACCCAATAACAATCAACAAAATTACTTTGCCCAAGGAAAAATGATGATTCTCCCCACAATCACATTTAATTCAACACCAAATCTATGGAAACAAATAGAAAGGCACTGTTTAAATTATGAATACTGATATGGTACCATGCGATAAATTTATGACTGCTCAGCGCCGAATGCACAAACCAAACACAACTACAGTAATGAGTAATGACATTTAAGAAGACCACATTACTTAGTAAGACACTAAAACATTGGTTGCCACACCTTGTGGCAGGGCATACTCTTCTACAAAGTTATTATGAACTTATGATTATAATCAAAGAGAGAAGGAAAACAGAACTTAAAATACACACAATACAACAGATCAAAAAGGGGTATGATGACCCATGCCAGTAATGATACAGGAGATAAATAATGAGATAAGAGGGATGTGTGAGTATGACATTGAAAACTAATTTGACTTAGTGACCTTCTTCAGGTGTTTGACCTTCCTGAATTCATGGGAATGAAAGTTCTTTTCGACTTCCCAGGCGAGCTGAGACATACCGTTGAACGATGATTTGGCACCCTTCTCGTCCGAAACTTGTCTAGGGAAAGGTATTCGGACCTCATATACGTCGTCATGCACAGATCTCACGTGCACATCGAAGCCTAGTCGATCAACCCACACCATCTTGGCATCCAGTACCTAAGAAAATATTGATAACATTAAGCCCATTTCCAATTGAAAGAAATATTCAGAAAGTGCCTGAACCATTCAGTTCGACTATCAATTGAGAAAATCCCGTCACTAGACTGAATATATGATGTTCCTGTGGTCGCTTAATTTGAAAAGAAAAACAAATAACATAAGGAACTGTAACAGCCTGAAGAATGCAGAATCACGAATCTGTTAAAATTATCCAGACATCTTTAACTACACTAACAGCGTGACTGATGTATGGTACATTGTAATTATGGTTAAGGGATCAGTTATATACTCCTTGCATCCATGTGCCCACAATAAATTCAACAGAAAATCAATCGTTAAGTATCAAAAAGCAAAAGACAAGATCTCAAGTGATAGGCTATCGTGTTTATAGTTATAGTTGGACACCAACAAAACCTGTTCACTTCAGGAAATGATACCCGATACAAACTATGAACCACAACTTTATGAATAAGACTACAACAGAAACGAATTTAATGAATGAGCCGAATTTTGTGCTTACACTTCCAGAATTCCAAGAGAAGAGGAAGCAGTGAGACAAAAAATAAAGGCCAGCAATTATGTGATCAAAGAGGGAAAAACCTGGAAATCCAAGTCTGCATAAATGTTACAAAATCGATGAACATCTTCTTTGCTGTGGGTGTTAATCTCATCAACAATTCTTTCTGCACAGTCTCTTAGTGGATCTGGTTCAGCTGATGCATATTCTGATGAAGAAACCCAAACACCATCCTGAAGTAGGACTTAGTATTATTCTCTCAACTTCATGAAGCTGCGCAAATATTGTTGACTACAACCAACAACACACAAAAAGAAGAAAAAAACCACATCAAACAATAAGTGAAACCTGGGCATAATCTTCTATTTGAAGAACCCTTTCAACGTCAATGAAATAGATGCAGCTTTCTTCAACTTCCTCGTTAAACCGCTTTTTCCATGCTGAACAGAGTCTCTGTAAGGAATTCTAAATTACAATGAGAATCAACATACATCAAAAGTGTGTGGAGTTCACCATAGCAAACCATTGCTTATGCTTAATCATTTTTACCAAAACTTTTGGAAACAGACGAAGGATAAAGTCATTGAGTAAAATCATCTCCATGCTACCATTAAAGTGCTGTACTGCGACAGTGCAGGTCAAAACATCAACATCGTTTGAATGAACGATAGATACGCATAAGAACATGTATTCACCTACTACAAGTTCACTACCAGTTCACTCAATTTTGACAACATATTGCTCCAACCTACTCAAATCTGGTTTCAGTTTCACTAATGCAAGTAACACAACAGGTTTACTCAGTTAAAACACAATACCAAAACCAAGTCAGTAAAGTAGGGTACATCAGATCGAGCACAAGAACTCACACGAAAACTTCAAACTTGTACTTACTCTCAAAACCGTCTTATCTACAGGTTTCTCAAGGTTCCCTTGTATGGTACACTGAGGCGTCCGCTGACCACACTGCTCCAACTGGTTAACATCCAGCAAATTCACCAAAAAAATCATTATGTTTCCGCAAATTTAACAAGGGCAAAGACAAAATTCACCCAAACATATGTCACAATACAGGCTTACAAGCTCATCAACACCGATTTACCAAGGTTAAAGCTAATCAAATGAAGTCAACCGGTAAAGGTATCCACTCACCTGGACATGAAGGCTACATCTCCGATTATCAGGAGAAAATCGTACATCGAACTCATTCAAACACAACACCGGAGCTCCATTCAAGTCAACAGCAAATCGAACGCCGTAACCTAAGGGCGAGCCGTCCTGAGGGAGGATTGAAAGGGTGCCCACAGAGGATAACTCCACGATCGTTCGGGAGAGCTCAGCTGCAAAAGGCTTGTGCTTGTCGGCGGATTCCAAACGGGGGGGCTCTGCAACTACGGAGACGGAGCATCTCAAAGGCTCGACCCACAGTTTGTTGTTCTTAATCAATGGCATGAAGGAGGATCGATTAATTGCGGGTCTAGAGAGAAAAACTGAGGGTTTGAGCAACTGAACTGTGGGGAGGAGTGACGGGGAGATGTTAGAGGTTATAGACGGCGCGTGTGGCAGCATTTTCTGCGCGTTGCAGCGGAAGCAGGAAGTAGTTCCGCAGTGGAAGGATGATGATGGTGATGGAGATGGCGATAATAGAGTTGTGAGAACAAACAGCGATTTCATGTATTGGGGCAATGCAAAATTGAAATCGCGTGAAAGAGTTGTATTAGATTTTAATTAATTAATTGGCATAGTTTAATTAACTTTTTGAATTATTTGATTATTACTAGTACAATACTCGAGTAATAATTATATTCAAAATTAAATAATAATAACAACAAAAAAATATTTTAGCTTTTACATATATTTTTTATAAAAAAATATATTAATATTTGTATTTAAATAGACACTACTACTTATACGACTTATCATCTTATAATAATTTTTTTTACCTTATATCAGATAAATATTATGAAGTTAAGTTAGTTTAAGTAATTTTATTTTTTTTTGAATTAATATTAATAGGTAATTTAATATTAATTATAAAGATAAAAAAATTATTTATTTAATTTTGTACGTATAATATAGATGTCAAATCGAAACTTACCTAGGCATGATTACTTTGATATACTATATATAAGAAATTGTTAATAAAAAAATTGTTAACTTTTAAATAATATTAGTACAGCACCGTGCTTGTTAAAACAACTAGTCTTATATTTTAAATTAATGAAAAAAATTGTTTTAAAATTTTAGTAGTTTTACATAAAATATATATTATTATATATTTTAAAATGATACTTGTTAGTTGTGCGACTTCCCAGTATTATAATATAATAATTACATAGGTGCTTGTTAAAACAACTATTCTTATATTTTAAAATTAATGAGAAATTTGTTTTAAAATCTTAATAGTTTTACATAAAATATATATTATTATATATTTTAGAATGATACTTGTTAGTCGTGTGGCTTACCAGTATTATAATATAATAATTTTTCTAACTTATTATTGTAAATATATATATAATATATTTATTTTATACATATAATATGGATGTCAAATTCAAGCACATCAAGAGATGATTAATTTGATATATTATATATGTAAAAACGGATAAGAAATATAAAAGTGATCAACTTTTAAAAATATTTACAATTATTTATTTATTTATTTTTTGTTCGAAACGATAGAGATTTTATATAAAAAACACAAATGTGCAAAGAGCAGCCACCAGCCGAATACAAACAGCCAACAGCTGAATACAGACAGCCAACAGCTGAAAAAGTGGAAGGACAGGTCAAAAGACTGCCTAGAACCGACCCCAACAGGGTAATAGTTGGGAACACTAAAAAACACAAAATAAAAAACAGAAAATAAAAAACACAAAGACCCCAACAGAGTAATACCCGAGTGTCGGACCCCAACAGGGTAATAAAGGCGACACTCAGGCTCAATGAGGCCAACGACCCAGACCTGAAACACAGGAAACACTAAACGAGAACAAACAAGCTAAACACAAAAGGAAAACTACTAACTAAAAAAAGCACGACCTCCCTCAGCAGAAACAATCGAAAGACAACAGACAAAGCCGATTTCGAGGAGAGCTCCGAAGCTCAGATACCCTGCCCGCCACTGCATAAGGCTTAGCAAGACGAAGACCCAAACGACTGAACAAACCAAAAGAACTGACCCGCTCAACAACCGCAAGTCACCACAATCAACCCCCAACCGGCAAACACCACTAGCCAATCTGACACCGCCCTGAACCTGTCTATCACCACTAGCCAGCACCGGGAGCAATCAGCCTCCCACGATCTCAGGAACAGAGAAAGGAGGAGGAAGGGGACGATCGGCGACAACGCTCAGCCACTCCAACCCTGCCTGAAAGGACGAACCCAGCCCGAACCAACCGCCTAACCACCCAACCCGAGAGAATAGGCCAGAGACTAGACTCTGACATAAAACCGAAGACCCGCAACCGGACTGACCTCCAAGCCTGGCAAGAAGAGACACCTCGTCCAAAACAGAGCACGAACAAGAGCTCCCCACCCGACCCCTGAAGACAACCCACAGCTCTCCCGCTGCCAAAATCGAGCGCCGGCGACCAGAGAACCGGAGAAGGAGCCTACGATTCCACAGCAACAAAGACGAGGATGTCTGCAAATGTTGGAAAGAGGACGCTCGAGGACAAGGACGATGCAGCAGCTTGAGCCGCGTCCCGCCACAGGCGACACACTCCACTCAGCCTCTCCACCAGGAGCTCCGGCGTCTTCAAGCGGAGGTCTGCGAAAACCACCAGAATTCGCCATCCCCGCCCCTCAGCCATAGAGACGAAAGGAGAAGGTGTCACGATAGTGGCGAGGACGCTCGGTGGAGAGCAGTCTACCGGCTATTCGAATTCACACCGAGAGAGGCGCAAATTCGCCGGCGAAGACCTAGGTTTTACTGTTCAAGTTTTTTGGGCAATTCGCAGAGAGAAGAAGAAGAAGCCACTTACAATTCAATCATTATAATAAGAATTGACATTAAAATACAATTAATATCATAAATGATCAACATATTTTTATGGATAATCTATGCTTAATTATTTTTGGATTGGAAGTAAATTAAAATCTAGCCAAGCCAAATAATAAAGCATGTAATTACCACATAGGATCCCAAAACATGCGAGTATGCCATTTAGGCTCAACACATTCAGGAATGACATTATGTTATTTTATTGGAATACTTTTTCTATTAACTAAATAATGCCTCAAGTATGAAATTATTTTGTATTCACCACTACAGGTACATTTCGAAGAGAACTTCTATTAAAATTTTTACCAACTCCAGTGACATATTTTTCAGCTGTTGAAATATGAGCCGAAAATAATTCAAACAAAAATTCATACAATAATAAATAATGATTATTGAAATTATTAAATCCACTGAAATTCCAATATAATGTAATTTGATCTCTGTTGGAATAGTCAACGAAATTTTACAATAAAAGCTATACAAATAAAATATCATTTAGAAACTTCAGTTAATGTCTTACCGTTGATATTTTTCATTGTAATGTACCATTTTTATTCCTTTATATAATATATTTTTTATGTATGAGGTTTTGTTATTAATTAATTGAATTTATAATTTTTGTATTAAAAAATATTAAATACGTGAACCTTTTGTCCATATAATGTTTGTAGAAATCGCTCATTATTTTATCGCAAGATTACCTATTAATTTATCAATTGGGTTACATTTATTGCACTTACATATTAAATAATGAAAAAAATATATATATATATATATATAATATGGTATTTATATATTATATAAAAAATTAATAGCAAATAAAACATTATTTAAAATCAAAATAATTAATGTTTTTAAGAAAAATAAATTACTAACCTACATGGATAGAAGTATAAATAACTATTGTATATCATCTACAATTTATATACATAACTAATAAAATTAACATGCGGTGAACAATTTGACTCGTTTACATCAATAAGTACAAATTTTAAAAGTTCTATAATTACTTTTACTAATTATATTATTTTTATTTATTATTTTTTTTCTTAATTATTAACAAGTGTTACAACTTTATTATAAATTTAATATTATTTATCAGATTTAATACTTTTTTACTTTATATTGTTCTTTCATATGTTTTTTATATATATATAGGTGTGTGTGTGTGTAACTTTTAGGTTTGTTAAAAAATACATAAAATTAAGTATAGCACTATTTGGGTCATATGTCTTATTTATATAAATTAATTTATATCTTTTTATTATATTATATATAATTATAATCTTCTCATTTATACTCAAATATATAAATGTTTTATTTCGTACATTTATTGAAACTATTTTATTATAATAACACATATTAATAGATAGATAAGTAATGATAATATACGAATATATTTGTTTTGATAAAAAAAATTAATTTTCAACATGTAGGCATATCATGATTCTCGAGATATTCTTAATTAATTTGTAAATAATTATATGGTCAAAATTCCATGTTGTTAAAGTGATATCTCATTAGACGTGAAAAAAATAGATTAAGTTTTAGTATTCTACAATTTCATAAATCTTATGTAGCAAAGAAGTTGAATAGATTAGAAGTTTAGGTTGCAAAACAACCATTCAACAATTAATCTCGCATACTACCACAAATTTTTTATAGGTTATTTTAAAAATAATATTTCTATACTTTGTGTTCGTTATGAGAAAAAATAATATCGATTTCTTAAAAGAATTTCATATATTAGAATTATGAAATGTGATTACAATTTTGCCATTAAAATTATATTAAAATAATGACATTTTTCAAAACAACAATTTCATATCCTATCAAACAGTTTTAGAGATATGTGGAAGAAAACAAATTTATTTTAGGAGTGTGGAATGGTTTGTTCATGTATTTGCATTTAATTAATTAATTAGTTATTAATTAATAATATCAGATATGATGGACATTAGTATATTACTAATTTGTTATTAAAAACATGTCAAAGTAAGGGTTTTTTAGGTAGTTTATTTTTTTATTTAAAAATATGGCAGAGAAAATTGAGAGATCGTGAATTTCGATGTATTTATTTAATAATAATTATGTTTGTTAGAAAAGTTATATTACAAATTTGTCATTAAAATATGACAAAGTAAGAGTCTTTTTGGTATTAAATATTTTTACAAAAACACTAATCCTTTTAGAGTAGTATAGATATGTGGGTTCTGAAATCGATTTTGATGAACGATTGAATTTCTAATGTATATTTAAAGTTTATTTTATGTGTATGTGTGTCCCGATCTTTCGCTGACTTGAATTACAAGAATCTTGAGTGTATATTTTATGTATATTTTATGTACATGTGTTGTTTTGGGACAGATCGGGACACACATATACATAAAATATACTTTAAATATACACTCGAGTTTCAACAGTTTCTCAGAATCAATTTCAGAACCCAAATATACCTCAAATATACCTAAGATATACGGAGTAACTAATTGAACCACTTACCCTCGCTCGGCTGCAGCTGGGGTTCGTGCTGAGTCGGAAGGAGGCTGCGGGATTTTTTTGAGCGAGGGATTCATAGGCGGCGGAGGGACACGCCGGTCATCGGAGTCGGCCGGTGGTTGATCGTGGTTGAGCGGTGGTCCTTCAGTCATCAGTGGCGAGC